ATCAGATGAGGGACTTTGTTTGTTTGGGTTTTTTATTCTTTCTTTTATAAATTCAAATTCAAACAAATCCTGCTCCATTTAAAGGTCGGTGTTTTCCCCTCATGATACTTTAACCAAGAACTGATTCTTGTTTCTTTTTCCATTAACTTCATATAATAGATGTTAAGATTTTAAAAAAACTCTATGGCTCTCAGGCCTCCTCACAGATGGAATAAACAACACCACCATGCTAACACGCAGTACAACTTTTTCGCAGTGTTCAACAAAAAACCACCATGTACTGTATGCAGTACCTTTGAGGTGACGCTCCGTTCTCCTGGTGTTCCAGGTGCGAGCTTAAAATGTTCCAGGCCAACGATGGGACACCTTAGAGTCCTGCAGTCCTGTCTTTACACCTGCATAAATGAATCGCAGGCGACTCACTCAACGTCGCCCCCTGTATTTGCACTCTTGCTGAAACACTGCTCTGTTCGCTGTAAGCTAACAGAGCTCGATCTGATGCTCAGAATCTGTATCGACCCGATACCAGGAAAAAAACATCAATGAATCAAAGTAGTTTTGAACCCTCTCTAGTCTGGCCTTCCAGTGGAAGGTTTTCTAGTTGGGGGCCTGAGGTTCTTTGACCTTCTAGAAGGCACTGTTTCAGTGGTAAATACATTATTCAAGTTAACGACAGACGTCCATTAGATTAGTCGTGATTGACAGGTGTAGTTCAAATGATCAAACTTTGATCAAATCAGCGTTTGTTGTTTTCTGTTTGCTCCGTATGATCTCACATCCACGCCCTGATCTGTGTCTGATTCATGGGCAGCCGTTCCCTCACTCACTCCCTGATGTTTTCTGGGTCCACTGAGACTCAGTGATGTCCTGATGTGACTCAGTCCCAGCTCCCACCGTGGACCGTGTGTGAATAATGAAAGCAATCTAGTCAGCTGTCACCCTGACCTGTCAGAGTGGACTGGTTTACTGCCCACTGCAGCCGTGCCCTTCACTGTTTAGTCTGAAGTGGTCAATACCATTAACACCTGTGGTGAGGAGGCTGCTGATCCACTGCACCACCGCTGCTGCTGCTGCTGCTGCTGCTGCTGCTGCTGCTGCTGCTGCTGCTGCTGCTGCTGCTGCTGCTGCCATCTTGGTCCGACTAATGAAGAGCTCCAGTCGTCGACTAGTTTTGTTAGATTAGGTCAAACATCCGTCCTCGTCCTTGTTGACGTCCCCTTCTGTCTGTCTGTTACAGAAACTCAAACACAATTAAATGCATATATTTTCTGTGGATTTTCCACCTCAAGTGGAATAAAATGCACAGAAATCCCACATGGTCTGAGTGTGTGTGTGTGTGTGTGTGTGTGTGTGTGTGTAGAGAGAACAGTTACTTTTCCCCAGGCAGAGACAAATGACGTGGACGCGTCAGGAGCTTCTGTTACTACAGAGCAGGAACAGGTGCTCACTCTTATAAGAGCTTAAATAAACACACTTTAGTCGTGATGTTTACACAGTCAGTATTCCAGTATTTACTCTATTACTCTGGCTTTTATTTATAGCTTGCGTTTATTTCTGTGTTTCCACTGTGGAGCTGTTTAAATATAGACCGTGAATGTCACACAGAGTTGGCTGTTGTTGTTGTTGTTGTTGTTGTTGTTGTTGTTGTTGTTGTTGTTGTTGTTTTTCAGCTCTGCTTTTACTCCAAAAATATTAGATGTGATGTCATACCACACGGGTGTGAAGGTCAGGAGGCAGAACAGCAGCAGCAGCAACAGCACGACAACATTTAGCTTTAGCTTTTGTCTTAGTAGCCTCAAGCTAACTGGAATTCCACCAGTTGTACTTTTGAAGGCAGCAGTAAGAAGTAGAGGAGATTTACCTTATCAAACTACATCTTGTCAGATCGATTCAATTCATTTTCAGTGTTTGTTAGAAATTAGAGTGGCAATTAAATCTGCCACTAGGGGGCGCTGAAAATAACTACTTTCACTCCATGCCTTCTGGGTCATACATAGTTCGCAAGTTGAATGCTGTAAGTTGCCTCTCTCTGTGGACTTTGAACTGTCCAAGAGTATAACCCCACCCTTGCATGATGACTGCTGTGATTGGCTCCGCCCCCATCCTGGTCCCTCCCCCAGACTCAAACAGAGGACGACTACTATACTGTTCTAGTGACTGAAAGAAGTGGACGTTAAAAATGACGTTGGACATGGGCTGTATTTAAGATGGCTGTCACTGTCCCTCTGTGACATTCCCTGCTGGACAGCAGTGGTACTGCACACAGCACCAGAGTTTTCCCTGCTTCTATCTTGAGATGATGTGTTTGTGTGACTCTGGTCTTTCTGTAGTTTAACGTTCTGAAATTAGCCAGAACAAAGGATGAGCGGGTTCCCACAAAGCTAATGGAAAATGACATTATCACGTGTGTGTGTGTGTGTGTGTGTGTGTTGGCACACTAGTGCTGCCATGCATGCACGCGTGGCTGCAGGATTAATGTCTCCTTTCTCTTCTGTGGTAATCTATCTCCCAACCTGCCACGCTGCATCCACATCTGACCTGAGCTCACACCGAGCCCTCGTGACAACTGAGGGTAGTTCTCAGGCTATTGTCTAAACGTGGCTCCGAATTAGCGCTCTTCCTTTTTCTCTCTCTCTTTCTCTGGCACACACACACACACACACACACACGCACACACACAAGCCATATTGTTGAAATGAGCCGTGAATCATTTGTATGGAAAATTGAAAAATGATGAAATGAGAACATTTAGATTTGGGTTCATCATTATAGACCTCACCATGGAGAGGATGTGTTTCTTCAAGAGGTCTGAATCATTTAGGTGAGGATCATAAAGGAGTAAAGGCAACATTATTTAGCAGCCAATGAGATTGGCCTCCAATCAGTGAGGGCCACGAGTCAAACACGGTGCTGTATAAACGTTGAACGGCTGAGTTTCCGCAGCCTCGGTCGTTCTACTTACTGACTGGTCCTGTAGTTTCTGTTTCAGCGGCTCATTTGTTCTATTTTCCTTACGAGAGGAAAAACAAACGAATCCTATTGGATAGACCACAGCAGGGTTAGAAGAGAAGAACATCTGCTGAGTTAAAGCAGAGAGGAATAGAGAAAATAGTTTCCGTTCTAAGGGAACTGTATCAGAAATTCTCTTTTTAAAAAGACTGATGGCCTGTGATAGAAATAGAGCATTTAGAATGG